TTTCATTAATTTACCTGTGTGAGTACCTATATTCCAAGATTTTATCCTAATAATTTGGATAATTTTTTGGATTTTCATTTATGTCAATGAGATTTATTCTCTGAATTTTTTTCTTTTAGCATATTGAAGCCTTCCTCTTTTCAAATCATGTGCCTTTAACTTGACTGGAGAACAGGTGGTGATCTCTAACGAATATTTGATGACCTCCTATGCCGCAAATTCCGTCGTTGCTATGCAACTATCAAGAACCCCTTTTGCTCAGCCTTCATCAATTTTTTACCCTCTTTTCCCATCCTACAACTTACCTAAACCCTTCATCAAAAAAAGTTTAACAACCCATAAGTAGTGTCAATTTATTACTCAAAAATTTATGTTATACTCAAATCTTTAAGGTTAAAAATATTTGAATCCTCAAAAAACAAAAAAAAGGAAGAGTTAGACATTGCATGCTAGGTAAGTTGACTTTCAAAACAGCAACAACAACAAGCCTTTATCCCACTAAGTGGGGTCGGCTACATGAATCTTTTGCTTCATTGTGTCTTATTGAGTGTCATATGTTCATTTAATTCTAATAGACTAAGATCATTATTTTATGCAATATGCCCAAGCCTTTTTAGGTCCAGCTATATCTTTCTTAACATAAGTCAAATCTAAAACATCTACTCTCCTAATCGGATCATCATAAAGTCGATGTTTAATGCACTCTATTTATGTGTAAAATTTTGCTTTTTAAAAAATAATTTTGCGTCACAAATCTAAAATATAATTTTGCCTTTTAAAATAATAATGTGCAAGCTAAAACATCGTATATTGTTATGTACACATTATTTTCCGCCACTAACTATTTTTATTTATAAAAATTTTTTCATTTAATTTCTCATGTACATATTTGTCACTTATTTAACAGTGTTTGTTACTTTATTCTGCAAAGGATTAGCTTCTTCATGAACATCCCAAATTCTGAAATTTTGAAGTTAACTCATAAAAATAATTTTATTTGTCTTTTAGGTGCCCACATCTAATTATATGATAATATTTTATTATATTCTTTATCTTACAATTCCTCAATTTAAAATCTATAACTAATAATCAATGTTTAGTGCTTAAATTTTTACTTAAAATGACCTTACAATCTTTACATTCTCAACGATCTCTTCTTTTCATACAAAAATAATCAATTTGTATTTTATTAGAGCTATTCTTATAAGTAATAATATGTTCATCTCTTTTCTTGAATAAAGTATTAGCAAAAACAAAATCATACGCTAAAGCAAACTCTAATATGATTTTATCTTCTTCGTTAATCACTCTAAAACCGTAGCCACCATTGTTGGGTCCCAAGCCCCGGATGCGAAAAATAGAGGGTTGTGTTAGGTAGTCAACAACGAGCTAAATTTTTTTGTCAAAAAACATGCATGAATCCTTTAAATACGTTGACTTTCCATAAAAAATAATGTTTTATCCTAAAACATTGTGGTCAGTATAATAAGAAACTTTATAAGACTTTGAGTTAAGTTTTTGGCATTCTACATAAAATTCAGGTTAGGGTGATTGATTTTAATCATATAAAAGATAAGAATAACACTTAAAAGAAGTTCTAGTGAGATTTACCAAAACTAATCTTTGCTTAACAAACACGACCAATTTAAAAATCTTACTTAATAAAGGATAGTTCTCCATATAATCTTGATTCATTATCAAGAGAATTTATTATTTTGGGATTACATGCAAGGAGTTTTGCTTGTCATCCAAGGAGAAATGAGACTATTATAATGAATGAGAATAAATTTTTAGATAAATATGAAAGAGAAATATAACACATGATGTTACATAATACAAGATGTGTTGTTACCAAAGGTACAGAATAGAACACATGATTCCACATACCTTTAACAATTACACATAATGAACAATGAAGAATTATAATACAAATCTTTTTAGGGGGAGAACATTTTTTTAAACATGTCAAATTTCATACCCACATCAAAAAATTACTGATGTACCTCACACTTTAAATTGTTTTTTTAATAAAGTGGATAAACTATGCAATCTACCTAAAATAGTTTTTTTGAATAGAAACATAAAATTCTTGAATTTATAGAAAAATCTTATGAAGAAAATGGTAACCGAACTCAAATTTTGGACTAATCATCCAATAAATTTATAATTAAACTAAAATGATAAATGGAAGACCAGTAAATTTGATGCATTGTTCAATAAAGACTTTGCATATGCGGTGGGATTTTATATTACCTAAAGTTGTGTATACATACATTTTATCTGATAATAAATATACTATAATGAAACCATTTGAAATTATTGCAAAGTGACAACATAGAAATCCTATAGAACTTGCAGAGGTACTTATAAAATCTGGACTGGCACATTTGCACAAACATGCATACAAAGTAGGCATGATCCTCATATAGATATTCATGAAAAATCAGCAATTTTAAGTTTTTTGTTCCAGTGTGAATAAAAGGTAAGTAAAATTTAAGCCTAGTGATAAAATCATAATTCAGCTAAAAACTTTTTTTGGGTAGTTACATATATTTATTTGTCAAAAAAGTTAAAGAGCAATTATGGAAGAAGAAGCCTTTTTTAAAGGTTGATGTGAATCTTATACAGTTTTTCCCTAAAAAAATTTGATATCAACTTTCTTATAATTATCACACTATAGCAATTTTTATTTCTTTTTTCTTTTTTTTTTTTTTGTAAAAATTTGCTTCTCCCACAAAAATTTTGAAAAAGGAGCAAGAAAATAGAAGCCGACAATAATGTTTCAATAGTAAGAAAAACAAAGTAATGAAAAAGCTACATCAAATGAAACCTAAATCCTAAAAGGCACCCACCCAAAACATTTTAAAAGTTTGAATGAAAGATATGCGGGACAATTTAAAATTTTGCAATGCATTGAAACTAGTACCTAAAAATTAAAATTAAATAAATAGTATAAATTCAACTTTCAACAAGTCAAACTTAACCTTATTATTAAGCCTACAACAAATTCCAAAGATTCTACTCTTTTTACACATTCCTGGTGAATCAACATTTAATTCTCTATCATAAACTTTTATACAACTATTCCTCGAGCTATTCTAGATGATAAGATTATGTTTACTATCGAAATTGAATTTTAAAGAGATGTTATTCACTAGCGAGACAGGACTAACTTTGATGAGACAAGACTAACATTGATTATTTAAAATTTAATTCAAAGGAGGATCAAAAGTTATGTCCATATGTGGTTGGTAAGTATAAAATACTAAATTTGTCAAATCCATACAGATATGATTGGAAATTTCATGTTTATTTTTTCCAGAAGAAATGCGTCGAGTATTAGTTTCTTTGTATTCTACATATTTTCTTTCCATTAGTTGGTTTATTTTATTTATTGTTTCTATTTTAGAGACATGTCAACAATACTGGCCAGAAAGCATTGTATTTCAATTCCAAGCTGTACCTTGCTTTATATAGTTTCCATAATTTCAGCCTTGATTTAGTTTCAGTACATTACCACAAAAGCTTGAGGAAGTTATGGCGGGCCATGCTATATTTTCATGTTGTTTACAGTATTAAGATCAATTCATCGGATTCGAATGCTTTCTAGGCTAGATAAATTGATGTGGGGCTGCTGCTATTGAGTGGTAGAATTTGGATAGTTTGGCTTTAAGAGGAAGAATTTTAGTATCATTCATTTGAAAAAGAAAAAAAACAGATGATTTTTTGAAGAATGATGGTCTATTTTGGTTTGTTCTCTAAGGGAATTATTTGCAATGGTTTGTGCGGTATAGATTCTCTTAACATTTTGACTTATCATAACTTTCGTGGTTACGCATATAGTGTTTTTTGGCCTTATTCTTCTATAAATTTGGCTTTTTCATTCATGAATCAAATGAAGTGGTTTTGCTACAAAACCTGTGAGAGCTTACGTTAGTTTTGGCAGCATCTTTCAAGTAAGTTTAAACACTTGCATATATGTGGCTGATGTAGGAAATTCAACTTCAAATATTGTTAGCTAAATTTAAAACTTTAAATTAGAAATAAAATATTTTTTATCGGGTAAAATTAACTTAACTTTAAACTGAGATTGATCATGTGCCAATCCTCTTTACAATTCTAGATTATAATGAGTCTATAATTAGTGCTTCATGGCATGTAATTCATTCCTTTTGGCTTGAATAAAAATTTCTCTTCGTTGTTTAAATATTGTCGGTGCAAATTAGATGTTTGAATTATCAAGTGCTAATTTTGGGGAAATCATCTTCTTGCACTGACTTGTGGCAAGATTTTAGTTAATTTTGGTAAATTTTTTACTTACTCTAGTTAATCAACATAATTTGTTATTGGCTTCTTTAATACTCCTCATTTTGATCAAAAAATGACATGACAAAAATCTAATTTGTAAAAATAAACTTGCTTGCTCTTTGATTTTATTTCTTTACAAATGCTTGCTAAAATTCTTAAAAATTTTATTAAACTCTAATAACACTTGATTTCATTTAAATAAATTGAGTTGTTGAAGTAATTGACATAGGTGATGTGTGAATCCTCTATTTCTTTTGAACAAAATCAATGCATGTAACATCTTAATTGCGGTAGAAAACCTAACCTGACGTTGTCCTCCATCACAACTAGGATATATAGTTTTAAAAGTAAGACAAAAAGTTGGAGCCATGAAAATTAAGTGATGCAAAGAGGAACTACATGTTAAAACGTAAAGCCTTAAAACGTAGATAACACTTCATATTACTTCAAAAAAACGACTAATCTTTGAAAGGCATTCTTATTAGAGCATCATTCCTGAAGTTCTGGAAACGCTTATAGGAAACTTTAAAAAGAATTGTAGATGCATACTGATTATTCAACTGTATCTATGAAAAAGTGGCCAAGATAAAAGTAAATAGCTAGAATGGTAATCCACAATCAGGAACTTCTTAACAACAATTTGGGTCATTGAGCAAATCACCGAGTATCATATCTTGCCATATCTTGTTTACCTCTCATAAAAGATAATGAAGAGCTCGGGTTAGCACCAGTATTTGGAGATATCAATGCATCAAGTGAAGTTGCAGAGTTTTGATGCAGCAAAGCAGGCCCTTGGCCTGAAGGAAGGGTGGGTGCGTCTTCTCCTACCACTCTAACTCTAAGGTTGAATATATGCACAGTGCCCTTGTCACTAGATATTGCCAACCACTGCACATTAGGTGACAGAGCAATACTGTATATTTCTGCTCTATCTGCACCTCTTCTCACCTGCAATAAAATTTGTCATAAGATAGAAGATGGTCATAAAAAAGTACATAATGAGAAAAAAAGGAAGTCATTTACAGAAAGAAAATATGAATTGAAAAACAAAAATTCAGTACTTTCAAAGTTGAAACTGGGAAAGTAAACCAATCTAAGGTAATAACTGGTGAGAAAAATCGAGTGGAGCAAAATCACATAGAGTTACTCTACCGCGAGCCAAGATGAAGGCTCTTGTGAAGTATAATTCATTGGACAAAATCAAGATGAGATCTTGTAGAACTGGAAATTAAAGGTTTTTGCCACATCCATATGAAGATTTGTAACTCATTCAAGACCATCATACAGTTTAAATATATATGCATAAAAGGAACACATTCTGTATGCTAGCATACACTATGTTTATCTATGTTTTGGAATATTTTTTTTTAATGATTGATCGACGGTCGGAGACCAAAGATCAACCCGATTGGTCGAGCTCCCATCAGGTCTGGGAGCCCACCCGGTGTGCTGAAAATTCGAGAACCCTGCGCCACGAGGGATTTAACACCCGATCCAAGGGTCTTACGCCGAAGCCGCCACCAATGAGTCGGGGTATGTGCACATCTATGTTTTGGAATATGAGAGAATACCAATCAGAAAAATGACTTGCTCAATATTGAGGTCCTTGAAATAACAGGATAAGGTTGTTTAATTGTTAGCAAGCAGCACAAAATTTACCATCATTTGTAACCATAAGAACTCAGTCCAATCATTATTACTCCAGATTTCGTTTCTTACTATCTGATCAGAGGTTTCATTTAGCTAAATTCTATCATTGACTTCTCTGCCAGTCATTTAACTTGATTGCTTGATAAATATATGCTTCACTCAGTGTCCTACATGAAAAAAAAAGAAACCAGAACACTGAACCCAAAAAAATAGGCATATCACCTAAAGCCGCCACCAATGGTATTACACTACCAGATGTAAAAGAAGTCTGGTTTTGCTCTGCTCACAATGGTTATTGGCAAAAAATCATTATGGAACAAAAACCTTACTACTGCAAACACTGCAAGATGTTTGGACACCCGCAAGAGAAATGTTTCAGATTGTACCCTCAGTTGAGAACCAATAGTCAAAAGCAGGAACATGCTGTTAGTGCACCCCACATGTCTGAACGTCCTCCCAGCAAACCAGATGACAACCAATCTGAGGGGGGAATCACCAAGGAAATGAAGTCTGCCCCTATGAACCCTTCTCCTGACCATACTATAATGAATATTGCTCAGACCGAAAGTCAAGATAGTCCCGCAGCTCCTATTCAGAAAGCATCAGATGCAGATGTGACAACTAACATTTCACATACATTGGAACCTATCGTTGTGGCAACGACTGTTTTTCCTTCTACTACGGTTCTAATATCTAATCAGACCGAGGATCACATGAGTTAGTCTTCAAATGAAGAATGACAAGTTTACAATTCCCGACGAAATAAGGAAGAAGAAGGTTGGGGCACACTCCAACTTGAAAACTTAATGGATGATACTTTGGTTACTCTTGGCAATGACACGACACTTCAAAATTTGTTATCTGGCTCCGCTCCTAAAACTAGAGAAAGAGGCAGGACTAAACTGGCTCACTAAACTGGCTCATCCCTAACTACTTGTTTTCTGCATGTTTTAAATTTTTTGAGTCTATCTGTATCTTTTGTTGGGGTAATGTTTTAAATTTGTTTTACATTTTATTGAGTATATTGGGGTATTGTTGTACTTGTATCGTATGGGTAGGGTATCTCTTTTGGGTTCTTCTCATACAACTTTTATGTATCATTTCTATTTCAATAAAATTAGCACTTGGCTTTTCAAATATATATATATATTACACTGTTATATCACATGCTGTTAGGATTTACATTCAGCACAAAGCTTACAAAATCAATTCATTAAAAAAAATTAATGTTAAATCATTTGAATTTAGTTTTATACGATTTTTATGTGTTTATAATTGATCTGTTATTTGATGTTGGGAAATTTACATGCATACCTTTAAAGTTTAATATTTATATTTTGAATACATTGGTATTAAAAATCATGTAGTCGAATCCTAGTAGTGAGATTAAGGCTTGTTATTGTTGTTGGCATTAAAAATCTAGCCATGAAAATGTGTATTTCATATTTTTGATATGGTGTCAATATATATATATATATATAGTCTATCTTTCACCTCTAGCTTTAGCAGATGAAATAACACCATCGACATCATTACAATATCACAACTATTTGGATCTTTCTGAGTCCTCCACTATACCTTCAAATTGAGTACTGCGTAAATGCTAACCCTACATATTTTGTTCCGCCATATGTAACCACTAGCTTTAGTGGATGAAGTAACACCATCGACATCATTAACCATATCACAACTATTTGGATTTTTCACTGTGAGTCCACCATCACACCTTCATATTGAGTACCACGTAAATGCTAACCCTACATATCTTGTTCCGCTATATGTAACCTAACTACTTTAGATTTACTAGCTTTTCTCCCTAATCCTTCCAAAAGAAATTCAATCTACCTAAATTATCATTTGTGTACTACATAAATGTTAACTCTACATATCTCTTTCCAGAATCTGTGACCCGACCGCATTTGGAGTACCATTTTTTCTCCTTATTTCTTCCACAGCAATTTTATTTAAAATCCTTGTCCGTTAACATATACTCTTCCAAAACAGTTAACATTTTTTAATCATCATATATTCATAAACTTGAAAACCACCAACAAGATAAAACAAGGGTAATCTTCAGTATCATCTCACCACCATCCCCCGCAACTGCACCTACCTTATGTATCAAAGTCAAAAAAACAGTGCACATTTGAGAAAAATTTAAGTCTTTGAATATATATTTCTTATTAGAGTTGCAAATGAATAGAACTTTCAACAAACTATTCATGGCTCAGCTCAATTAAACAATGTTCATGATGCTTTGATTTACTAATTGAGCAGCTTGAATGTTTTCGTAAATACTTGGTTTCTAAATTAACAGGCTCAAAAATTTATTATTGATTCATTTATGTTCATGAATAATAGCACATAAAGCTCATAAACAAGCTCATTAAGAAGGTCAATTAAAACTCAATTAAAGCTCGTTCATAAAAACTATCATTAACATATTTATTCTTTAGGTTTAAAAAACTTTATTTGACATGGCTAGCTTATTTTTCCAATAAGCTGCTTGTATAAACTAGAGTAAGACTCAATTATGGCTCATTTATTTTGTTAAACAAATTGCTCATTAATAAACTCGATAATTTCTATATGAACCAAGCTTAAGCCGAGCTCAAACAACGTTTTAATAAATGAGTTGGAGCTCGAACACATTTCCAAAAGCATGAATTAAAATTGAGCCAAGCTCAAGCGGGCTTTTTATAAACAAGTTTGAGCTTAGACAAGCACTTGCTCGACTACACTCGATTCATTTGCAACCCCACTTCTTATTAATAGATTAAATGCCAAGTTTCTTCAGATATACCTAACACAAAAAGTATGGATGATCACAATTAAAATGATAAGATGACTGAAACCATATTAAGATTTTTTGACAATAGGATAAAGTTTGATATAACACAATTACAACAACAACAAACCTTTATCCCAATAAGTGGGGTCGGCTACATGAACCTTTTTTCACCATTGCATCCTATTTAAATCACAATTAAAATCTAATATTTTATGAACAAGGATAATATATGATTAAAGGATCCTATGACTGATAAAAATAGAAGTATGAGAACAAGGGCCTTAAGTACCCTACAGTGTAACATAATTATATTTTTTTCAAGAATACAATATTCAAAATGAGCCATAGGGATGAAAACATAGCACCCATACATAGATTTCAAAATGCATAACTAGAGAACTTACCTCTTGTAAACGTGTTCCATCCATTGTGTTAAAAATCCTCACCAATGTGCCTTTAACGCTTGCAGTTGCAAGAAGTAAACCATCCAAAGTCAAGCTGATGCAAGAAATATGTGAGTCATGTGCATTGATGAACTTTGTAACCTTCAAACCGAAGTGTTCAACCCGAACTTGTCCTTGGTGTAGACCAGGGCATGCCAAAACAGAGGTACTTGAATGGTGTGAGAGGCAACAAAGTCCCTTTGGATTGGCTAGTGTCTCTATTTGGTGGAGAAGTTTCAAATCATTGAAGTCATATATATATATCCTATGTTCAAGAACTACTACAATGCGATCTTGTCTCAATCTTACACCTCGAACATAAGATCTGAAGATAAATTCACCAATGCAACGACCTTGATGATCATCCCAGATTAGAACTTTGGTGGGTGGATATTGTGAGTTTCCGCTGCCACCAACAAGAGCCAAAATATTGCATCGAAAGAGCATTTCCACAATTCCAAAACCGCCACTTTCCAGATCCCTTCTAAGAGTTTGCTTCAAGGGCCTAGAGCCGTAGATTCTAAAACCACGGCTTGTGCCAACAGCGAAAGCCCGATAATCTTGGTTCCATGAAACTGAAAGCACCTCAATTTCCTCAGCTTCATGTGGATCCATTTTAGGGTTACCTAAAGAAGCTGACGGTATTTCTGGATTTTGAGATCCCAAAGAACCACAATTCGATACCAGATGTGTTCTTCTAGAGCTTGAGACTGCAGAACTCATGACAAAATATAAAACAAGAACTGATGGAGGTCTATATGAAGATCACTAGATGAACAACAAATTAGCAAGTCTCCAAACTGCTGAAGAAAGGTATAATTTCACAAAAGGAAGATTAGTAAATGAAGTAGTTGTGAGGTTTTAAAGCTGATACAATTTAAAAAAAAAAAATTCAGACAAACGAGATTTGTTTGGTAATTGGTATGTTTGTGCAAAATTAAAATCCTTTGCAACAGCAGGATATGTTTTCTTCTGCAGTCGCGTAATAATAATTCATGCCAAGATGTGTCAAATCCAAAGTATCATGCACGAATCATATTCATATTCACTTACTGAAGAAATCAAAATCTTCAGCAATTCATTCTTGTTTGGCAGTAACATTTTACGTTTCCAAAAACTACCAAGCCTCCAAAGTGAGAAAAGAGGAGATAAAATGATTGCGTGGAGGAAACGCGCTTCTGTATATGAACTCAATGACTTAACATTATAACCGGATCATAACCCTACTCGGCTCATACTGAGAACCAATCAAAACCTCTGAGGAATTCTACAAGTCATCATCAAGGCTTCCATTAGCAACCGATTCAACCATCCATCCACTCTATCAAAAATAACTACAACGCATTACAAACGGATTGAATGAAAGTTCGGTCTTATATGACCAAACTCATGAGAATACCAACCTATGATAAATTATCGTGTCTGCAGCAAATACAGCAACTGCTTATACCGTCTCTCAACCAGAAACACCGCAAGTACATCATCACCACACAAAAAAAACCCCGAACCAAGCAAGTTACAACAAACATAAAAAAAAAATTGAAAAAATAAAAAAGAAATCAGCCAAAGTGAGCAAATCCATTAATATAAACCATCGATTAAGACATCTGATCACGTCATAAGCTCCCGCACACAAAAAAAAAAACACACACTCAATCAAAAAAGATTTCGTCAGCGGATTCATTTCCTCAGCTGTTCCGCTGTTCCAGCATTTATTTTCGGATTCCCAAACCCGCAGCATCAAACTCAAGAAAACCCAGAAAGAAAACAACAAGAAAACAGAGAGGGAGAAGTGTGGGACAAGGAATCCAAAGAACATACATACCTCAGATGATCAGACCCTCCTCTCTGTCTCTCTCTCTCTCTATCTGAGATGAATTAATAAAGGACCCAGTGAATGATTATTTAACGACGATTTTCCATAAGAAGCGGTTCGGAAAAGCGCCTCCGACTTTCTTCTTCTATTGCACTGCCCTGAAGGAAACGTAGCGTGGCAATTTGCCGCCAGCTCCGGATTGCGCGGCCAGGGACGGCGAAGCATTTTTACAGCCATCAGATTCGGACCAATTTCTTTTAAGGGCTAGATTTGTACCACAATCATCATTTTTCCTGAATTAAGAAGTGTATGTATAAATTTTCTTTTGAATATATGGTGTACTTGAAACAAATATTATGTGCTTTTCTACAATGTGCCCATCGTTTGGGACAATAAGATATCATCAATTCATCATCTCATACTTCATTTTTATAAGATAACACTCCCAAAATGAAAAAATTAATCATAAATTAATGTTTTCTTTGGACAAAAAATAAAACTAATTTAAATATGAATTTATTTTAAAAGTGAAGAATCACTTGAACTTCAAAAAAATTATGAAGAATATCATGATTTATTTTTCATTATAATCTTTTTAAAGCATTAACATATATCATTTAAGTTTTTTTTTTTAATTCAAATTTATTCTGTGAAATATGCTTAAGGATCGAAACGGTAGGAACCGTGATGGACATTCAGTTCACCGCAATATCAAGTTCGGACGAAAAATACGCAAACGATGATTATAATATTATTATTGGTATAATAATATAATATTATTATTGTTATCTACTATTCTATTGTAACTTACGCATGCAGTTATCCAAAAAAAAAAAATTTATCATATTAAACGCGTCACACGCCTCTCCCTCTCTCCTTTAAGCATGCCTCCTTTATCATTGCAGTCAAAATAAATAAGGCTCTGTTTGGCGCAGATTTTTCCCTGCGGCGCGGCGTATTGTTTCTCGTTGGGCGCGGCGTTGAAAGAGCGGCGTCCCGCGATTTCGATCGAACACCGAACGCGTATAGGAAACTGCTTCTCAGCTTTCCAACTCGGCATTTTATTATGTTGCCCTAGTCATAAACTTTTCGCTCTCTGACTACTGATCTCTCCCCTTTCCTCCTCTTCATCGATTCCTCTTCGACGATTGGTTTGATCGCGTGGCAAGATCGCAAGATGCTTCTGATCGCGTTCCTCTTCTCCGACCGCGTTCATCTTCTCCGACCGCATTCCTCTTCCTCGATCGGTATTATTCGATTGCTTCTGATCCCCATTGAAAGAAGTCGTCGGATAATGTGAGAAAGCACTGACATTGTTTTGTTTCTCTCCGATGGCATTGTTTGGTTTCTCTCTGAAATGTTTTGTTGTAAAAAGATGATTGCTCTGCTAGGAAGAAGGTTTCAAAAGTTGTAAAAAGTGAAGATGAAAAACATGTGAGGTGAATCGTATTGATGCCTATGGAACTTTTTTTTTTCACTCTTTTTTATTTAGAGGAAGCATTTTCTTTAAAAAACATAATGGCAACCAATAGTGGAGAGTATTTGATCTTTCCTTTAAGAAATAAGAGGAGGTGAAGAAGGAACTACTTTGAGAAGCAAGAAGAATATTTTAATTTTTTATTAATTATATGGTCTCTTCGTAAGTATTTTTTAGGTTAACTAGCAAATAAATCAAGAATATTAAGGGTAAGTTTGAATGGGTAGAGTAATGATTTATTTGTTTCTATATTTTGGTCTACTCCATTTTTGCAATACTAACTAATGTTGGATATATATTTTTGTATGCAAATGAACAATTTACTTGCTTCTAATCTTTTATCTACAATTTCATTAGGAAGTTCTGAATTTTCTTTTTTGTACACTTGATTTGAGTTTTGGTTTGTCTCTTGATAAGATTGTTTTTTTTTGTGGTAAAATCTGAAAGCTTCATATTGTTCCTCTCATTTAATGCCACATTTTTTTTAAGTATTGTTACATTTATATGTTTTGTTGTAGTAAAACAAATGGTTAATAAGTCCAAAAAGTTTGCCCCACCGGCTTTATGAGAAAAGAAATAAAAATAATATTTTGCGATCTTTGCCTCGAAGAAATTGATATGGAAAACAGGTCAACTACTTTCTTCAATAAAGAAGGGTGACAAAATATTATAAAAAATTTTAAGGAAATTACAGGCAGAGAGTACGATATGATGCACTATATGATGCAGTTGAAGAATAAGTGGGATTAGCTTAAGAAAGATTGGAAGACTTGGAAGGACTTGAAATGAGGCTCAACGGGATTAAGTTGGGATTCAGTTAAACGAACAGTTGAAGCACCAGATGAGTGGTGGTCTGAAAAACTTGCGGTGAGCTTTATTTCTATATTTTGTTAATTTTTACTCTCTATGTTTTCTAATTGGATTTTTTTTTATTTCATTATAGGTGGTTCCTACTGCAAAGAAACTTAAGTTTTCTGGAATTGAGTCTGAGATAGAGGAAAAACTCGACCGCATCGGTGATCTTGTGGGTGAGGGGGGGGTGTGGTCGCAACTGGAAATTATGCATATTGCTCAAGCGAGGTTGGGTTAGCTGGCAATGTTGTCAATCTTGAAACCCCTGGAGGTTCTGGTGACTCCACTGAAGTCCCCAACCCGGAGCATAACGAATATGAGCCCACTTTCCCTTCAAAGAAGCCGAGGGTTGACAATAGAAGAAAATTTGGTGCTAGTTTTCTTAGAAATGAACTCTCCCAATTGATATCTACTTACAAAGCAGAATCTCAGGCTTCTCATTCATCAACCATAGAGGAGCCACTAGAAATTTTGAGCGAGTCACCAGAAATTTATGGGGATGACGAATTGTATCTCTATGCAACAAAATTAATAAAAGACCCAGTTCGTAGATATATCTTTATGAAGATGTCAGCTAACCGCAGATTGTCATATGTTTAACGTTTTTATGATCGCCTAAACATTTGAGATGTACAATCATTTTGATGTCATGAACATTTATATGCATTTTGTTTTAATTATTTATTCTAGTACTTTAAATCTGCGCTATTATTATAGTAGTTTATATTGCATTTTAATTGTTTATTGTATTTTGTTTTGATGTCAATCCTTTAGTATTCACGTTATTATATGTTGCTATTTTTTTTTTTTTCATATTATCAAAACACTTTATTTAAGTAATTCATTAATGTATAAGGATTAGATTGAAAGATACCAATCCATATGGATGCTAGTAGAAGACGACAAATATCCGTTAACATGGATCCACGCAGGAGAAGGCAGAGAGGAATATTGATTATTGTCATGTGCTTGATCTTTGAGTACTACACTACGTACATTGATCGATCGCCGTGCATGACATCTCCATATATCAGTGATGGGAGTTGCTAGTAGGCTACCCAACAAGATTTAGTAATATGTTATGAATGAGCCTGAAAGTATTTCTCGATCTTCTTGAGGAACTTGTAGGTGCTCACGGACTTCATGGTTCAATCATAACCACTTTACGTGAGGTGCTCGCAATAACACTGTACATACTATCTCAAAATGAATCCATGTGAGGGGCGATGAATCGTTTTCAACACTCCACTGAGAAAATTAATAGGTATTTCTCAATCAGATTGAGCGCACTTGTTAGTCTTTCAACACTTGTCGTCAAACCATCAGATCCTAATTTCGAGCAGACACTCGCAGAGATATCACACGATGTGCGTTATATGTCCTTTTTCAAGGTAATGTCCTTAGAGCAGTTTAGTTTTTTTTTTTTTTGACAATGCAACATTTTTTTATTACCTATCATTCTACATAATCAAGACTGTTTCAGCACAATTGACGGAATACATGTTAATGCATGAATCCCGAATAATGCATTTAATGAACACACGTTTCACTAATTTATTACATAAAAAATTTGGCTTATGAAGTTAAAAAATTTTCACCGTTACAACCTTTTTTTAAACAAGTTTACCAAACAGGGGCAGCATAGTCTTTTTTTCATAAACAGCTGTCTGACAGCTAGTTTTACACAACTACACCAAACAGACAACCAGCTTCCCCGCAGTTGCTTCCCCACAACAGCTACTTGGGACAGCACAACTGCAGCTGAAAAGCTGTGCAACTGCAGCTGCGCCAAACAGAACCTAAATATATATATATATACATACATAATAAAAAAAAACATATCATTTCTTTCCCACGCCTTCCTCTTCACTCTCTTTCTCTCTCCCTCTCTCTTTTCTCACATCAGCCAACATTAAAAAAAATCTCTTATCTCTCTCTCTCTCATCCCTCTTCCATTCTTCCGCTCACCTCATAGCCGTCTCTCTATCCATCTCTCTCTCTGATACAAGAGTCAACTCACTTCTTCTACACCACAAGGTAGGCCCCTATCTCCTCTCTCTTGTTCTTCTTCCACCGACAAAATTTACATGCATGCCAGTCACTTTCTATTTATTTGCATGAGAGAAAGAGAGAGATTTATATGCATGCCACCCAAATGTCATACCACTTGATTCTTATATTTTTCCACATTAAAAATCTAAACTTTGATAATTTCATGCATGTCATTCATGTATTTATATTTATAACATTTCATTAAAAAAAAAAGGAATTTAAGTGCATACCACCCTTATGGTTCAAAAAAAAGGGGGACGTTTACATGCATGCCACTCAATTCTTTTGTATTTACATAAATAATTTTCTTTAACAAAAAAAAAAAAAGAATTTACATGTGTACCACCCTAAATCTTTTCATCTTTATTTTTTTTATTTTTTTTATTCTTTTAAAAATTTACACCTATGCCACCAATTCCTAAAAGTTTAAATGTTACACATAGAAGCAAATGTCATTTAAACTTTCATATTTCCATGCATTCTACAAGACTCTTTTGGATTTACCCATCTACCACCTAAGCTTTTATGTTTACTTGCATGCCTATAACAAAAAAGACTATATGTTTACATGTATGTTACCTTGCCCCCATTGTGATTGCATGTGTTTCTATGCGAACATTTAGGGTCCGTTTGGGGCAGCTTATTCACTGCGGTGACATTTTCAAAACGCCGCCGTATCGTTTGAAAAAAGCGTTTCAATAGTGTTTTGTAGAACGACGTTTGACTTTTTAACTAAAAGTCGGACGCGGGTCATTGGGCACGATCTACGTTTTGTTTTTCTTTTGGACAGAGTTTCCCTCTTCGCTTCGCTCCCAGGCACCATTGATCCTTTTCTCGTTTCATTTTC